TGTAAAAATTTCTTTAAATTTAAAGTTATATTTAAATAATACATTTCACTTTTTTCCATATGAATGTAACTAAACCCCGTCTAAATGTACTTCTACGTTCCCAATTTAATATTTCCAAGTTTCCAAAAATATCATTTTCTCTCGTCAATGGGATTCATACTTTGAGTACGTGAAACTTGACAAAACCTCTTAACTTTTTATCGCTAGTTTTGTAAATGAAGAGTTACGCAAGAAGTTTATTGGTTTTTCATCACACGGAGATTTCACTTGGATAAGATTTAAATTCATTAAGATAGATTTGTCCATTTAACAAGCTTTTGATATTCGACAATTCCTGTTAAAAGAGAAGGAACCAATATCTAACTATTTCTTATCCAACCTCGAAATGTTATAAAGACTTTACTTTTCGAACATTGAAAAATTGGAATTGCTCCAATATGTACAACTTTTTATTTCTCCAATTATTACTAATCACATACCTCGTGATATAGGATTATTTGAACTACAAAATCAAACCAAATTATAAACACCGTGAAAGCTTACTACATATGGTTGCCTCCAACAATCAACTAACAAATAGCACCAAAAGAATAATATTAAAATAATGTTACATGTACCGAATTTTTTTACCAAATCTTTTACCTACTACTCACAACAAGGGTAGGGACATCATGTCGACATTTTTAAATACACATGAAGCCCGTATGCATTGTTAGAGGGGGACACCATTCGGTACCCCCTCTCATATCTTCAGACCAATTGATGACGCAAACTAAGAACTAAAAATAAATGAACATCTTCGCCATAAGTTCAATGAACATAGTCGACAAAAAAATAAAGATAACACAATTTCCAAACAAATTAAAGGAAATATAACAAAAAATAATTAAAACTGGAATCAGGGTTTATTTATAAATTGTTGTGAAACCAATATATTAATATTAGAATAATGTTACTTATGCTAGAACACTATTTTAGGTGACTATACTTTATAGGTTCAGCTACACAAGGCATCGATTTGCATTTAAATGAACCTATCATTTTTTGTCATGTAATTGTCACCAAGATTGGTACTTAATACCAGTGATGATGAATAACATTACTCCGAAAGCAAAGAAAGCATAGGAAATCACTCATAAGGGACTATCTGATCAGCATAAAAAGAGTCTTCTTTCAATGGATCGCTCGATAACGAGCCTATCGCAATGTCACCGGGTTTGGGACTGTGCCAACAATCGACAAAACAGTTATCAACTCTTGAATGAAGCATAGTTGGTTACAAACAAGCGGAAGAGCCTTTTGACAAGTTAGTGTTATGCCTCTATGAACTGTAAATATATACTATTACAACCTCAACACTCACCAAAAGAACAACTAAAGGAAATTAGTACAGCACAAATTGCCAATTGCTTTGTCTGTGTGCAAATCACCTTAAATTCAAACATCCAAATTATCAACCTTATGAAATGTACAAGTCGGGCGCAATTCGTTGCTGAACCATCTGTCATATGCAATCCACCACAATGGTCGACATCTGACCGTGCATTTAAATCTTTTCGTCTAATGAGGAAATAATTCGACCACATGATTCTTCATTCCTCCAATGAGCTCTAGCCTAATCGACAGCCACATTAACTAAATTTCATCAACAGCCAGGAAGAGACTGGGCCGAATCAAATGGTGAAAAGCTTGTGGCTGACTCGCTGTAATGTAGTGGATTAGGTTGACGACTAGACGACCCAATATAACTTGAAGAAGCATTGCCCAGGCTAGGTATATATGGAGACATGTATCTGGAATTTATAGGGGAAAACGAGGGATATCCTAACGAGTGAGGTGAAACTAAATAAGCAGCACGGGATCTTTGGGAAGACATGTTCCTGAGGTCGACTGAGCTTCGACTCATACTAAGATGCGAAGATTGACGATGTGACTGAAGAGACTGCTGGTTATAAGGAGTGATAGAGATGGAATTGGGACGAGAAAGTGAAGAAGATTGAAATGATGCTGGGGCTATTTGTATGGCCGGGGATGATGCTGGCGATGATCTAAAAGATGATAATATGGAAGATGAAGGAAAAGAACCTGGAGTAGATGAAAGCAACGGTGTAGATTCTGATGCCGGTGGATCACCAGTGCTAGTTCTTGCATCACGTTTGCATACGGGACAGAATGTTCTCCACGCTGTTAGCCAAGCATCAACGCAAGTTGCATGAAATTCTGTAAAAATCCCAAGATGATATTACTCAACTAAAGAAAAGATAAAACAAAATTACCAAAGCACAATTTACAAAAGAAATGAAGAAAAAAGTATGACTAAGATGACAGCAGATACACGCATGCAGATTTTATTTTTAGTTCCTGAATTTGCAAGAAGATGTAATGCTCTTTTAATTAAGAGAATAATTCCCTAGGATAATCCTGGAACGGTTCAGTGCATATTGCATATCAGATTTCTAATGCACTTATTTGAAGGGCGCAGCGAGTAAAAGGAAGGAAAAAGGTTAGATCATACTTATTTATGGGAATAAGAAAAAAACGATAGTACAACAACTGTTGTTGGAATGTCTGCTCTTTATTCAAAAAAATTTCAAGATGCCCTTTAATTGTTGGAGATGCTCATGTTAGAATTATTACAGAGAAGAAACATATAGCCCCTGTTTGGTAGCTATTTTTTTCAAAATGTATTTTTCTCTCTCTTCTTTACAACCACACATTCTTTATTAAAATAATATTACACGTAAACAAAAAAAAATTCCTTATTTTTCAACCACACATTTCACATCAATTTACTATTCTAAAATACATTTTTATATAAAAATAACTCTCAAACACCCCCCATAGTGTTCTTAGAACTGGGGTAGTGGAGTGAATTGTGCAGTTATTTGAAGGGACGCAAGTAAATAAAAGGAAGAAAAAATGTTAGATCATACTTATTTATGGGAAGAAGCCAAAAAAAGAAAGTATAAAGACTTTTGTTGGCATTTCCGCTCTTTATTCAAAAAAATTTCAAGATGCTCTTTAATTGTTGGAGATGCTCTTAGCACTTAGCAGAATTATTACTGAGAAGAAACATGATGTTCTTAGAACAGAGGTAGTGGACTAAATTGGGCCAGACCACCAGGCATCGCTTTGCACATGCCAGCCTGACCCAATTTTGAAAACATTTGCGTCCCCCACCCAAAAATAATAAAATAAAAAATAAATAAAATCCAATTGCAATAATTATCTCACACCCATTCTTAGAGTGATGAAGTGACAACTATCTAGGAAAAAATTGCATCCCATTTAATGTCCTCAGCATTGGATCCTCGGGAACCCTCAGAAACACGGGGCTCCTCTCAAAATTAGTAACCATGTAGATAAATATCCAAGTAAGTTGACAGCACCAGAAGAAATACTTCAATATGGTTATGCATCAGATGGTGAGTATTTTCTTCGTGCTTAGTTAAATTTCTAGAAAGTAAGGATTTTTTTTTTATTTTTTATTTTTTTTTGGGGTTGGGGGGGTGG